AAAACAATTGAATACATCATATCCACAGCTACACCAAGGCAGTTGTAAGAACTAATCAGTACTGATGGAAGTGTGCAAGAAATTGATGGGTGCCGAAGTGGAAACAAAGTTGAGAGACCCCTTATAGATCTGGAAACTGTTGAAAAGAAACTGGCATTTTCAAAAAGAAAAGAAGGCTACCTGAAAAGTTTAGAACTAAGGGACTCTTTGAAAATGCCATTTTCTTTTCAACAGTTTTCAGATTTTCGAGGGGTTCCTCAACTTTGTTTATACTTCAACATGTTCAAGACTCATCAATTTCTTGCACACAGCTGCCATCAGTTCTCATTAACTCTGACAACCACCTTGGTGTAGCTGTGCATGGATATGATGTGCTCAATTATTTTAGCCCAAGGTTTGGGATGGTCAGGAAGATAATGTCTTATTCTTTGACTTCTCTTTCTGATTTTCCTAGGTATTGTAACTGCATCTGTACTTCTGCTACTTGACTGGACAATTTTCTGCTGGTTTGCAACTTTTTTTAGCTTGTGTCAATTTTCTTCTTCTCTTCTGTTGCCACTTTCTCTGTTTTGTTTTCATTTTCTCATATGTGTTTTTAATTCTGGTCTCTGTCTTTTGAATTTAGTTTTACATTGTTTTGTTTTCTTTGTACTTTCTTTGTATATATTTGTCTAGTTTGTCCTTCAGATTTGGATCTTCAAGCAGTGTTTTTCTCAATTTTCTACTCCTCAAAGTTGAAGTTGTTGTTGACTTTGATGGTGTGTTTGTATGCACTTAGCCTGTCTGATTTTCTTCCAAAGTTCAGTTTCACAACCATCTTTCCCATCTTTCATTCATTCAAAGGTTGGATCATAAAAATTGAACTCAAAATGTGCAAAACTGCTTGTTATTGTAAATTGATGTCAGGAGTGCAACAAAATTAATTGTTTGTTATAACAATTATAATAACTTAATTAGTATAACATGAAACAATTATAAAACTTTTAAATTGAAATATGGTTATTTCCTAATCAAAAGACAAAGTTTAAGACAATAAGCTTCCATAATTTGAAAATAATATGAAAATTCATCATTCAGATATTTTTGCTTGTGACAAAAAATAATTCTTGGATCAAAGTCCTGCTTTGAAATTCACCTTTAGGAATTTATTATAACTCATACATGTAGCCTAAATAGTTAGAAAACATGTTTAGATGCAAATAAGTCATAAGGAGCTGATATTATCTTAAAATATAAGTCCAAGAAAATATCATTTTAAGACTGTTGCACTCCTGACATCAAAGAAATGGCTCAAAAAGATAAATTCCTTGTTTATCAGGCTACTCTTTGGGTGCAATCTTGTATCTAGTATACATGTAGTATCTTTTGAAAAATAAATCAGAACAATATGTTGGCTTTTGTATTTATTAGGGCTTTAATTAAATAGGTGTGCGTCTTTAAACTTCAAAGTTGCACTCCTGACACTCATAGGGAGGCCTTATTTACTTGCCTCTCACACATTATTTATACCAATAATCAGGTAAATGAAGTATTCATTTTGGAAAGGACAAATTTTTTTTAAAGGATTGACTTTTGTTTATGTTTAGGTGTGATTCATTTATTGAAAAATCATTCTATTCCTCAGTAGTACTCATTTATGTGTTGCACTCCTGACAGGGTACTACTTTTTTTCAAAACACATCTGTATCAAAATGGTTTAATGGAAAAGCTTCCTTCTAAGTTAAAATCATCACTAAGACATAATAGTTGTAAAACAAATAAGAATTTAAGGCACATACCTCCATACAACAAAACCCCAAGGGTGACTGGGGTATAGAAGTATGGTCACCATTGGTCTTCCTCCGACCGGCAGTAAAACCCGTGCTAAAGTGGGGCGTCCGTTTGGCTGTGCGGGATGTACAAATTTGCAGCCACGTCTGGTCAGAATGGGGACGTTAAATCCGATGCCTCGTGTAAAGAGAGTGCCACGCTCTTTGCACGTTAAGAACCCTTGCAACAACTCTTTGAGGGGTCCGTAGGTGACCTGTTGCAAGGCTAAATTTCTGTTCCTATCCAATATACCCTCATTTCCCGTGGCAGTCTAAATTTCTCCGACCTTAATCCCTTAATCTATTACAGATCCTACCTATTGTATTTATTGTGAACTTGTTCTCGTCCTGAATATGCATGAAATATTTGTCACTGGACGTTAAGCAACCAACAATCAATCAATCAATCCATACAACAATTTGCTGTGTCTTTAAAAAAAAGTATTTTTTCAAAATGTCACAAAAAAGTGTTGCACTCCTGACAATTTTGGCATCTTTTTTTAACGTCATTTTTTTAATACTTGAGATTTTCCAAAGATATTTTGCAGGAATATTCTACACATCAATCCACGTCATTTGAAATTACTTTAGTCAATCAAATGATCAGTATGATTGATAAATATTGCTTTATATGCAGGGAACCATTTATTTTGACTTTGCCCATATAGAGTACCGTTAAAATTGGTGGATTTGAAGTTAAAAAAACCCCAACTAAATGCAAATAGTAAAAATATATGAATAATAAAAAACTATTTTAACAAATTAAATACATTGACTTGAAATAAATGTTTTCACTCAGGGATAAACACTAATGCCGATTAAAACTAGGACAAGTTCTTCTTTATTTCAACTTAATCATCGAAGAAGTTTTGAAAGATAAATTCTTTTCTTATTGTTTACGAAAATTATCAATAAGTAGTCAATATATTAGTGTTGAAAATAAAACAAATATAGTCGAAAATACAAATATTTAAATATAAATAGGAGTAAGCAATTTTATAGGAACAGTATAATTTATTTGAGCCCTGCATGTGGTTTCCGTTTGTAATGATAAGGAGATTTATATTCCACTTTTCACTTTAAAAAGTGACAATAAAAATAGGCCAATCCAACATGTCCAACCTATAACTATGATTTTACAACAAACGAACTTGCGCATCTCTTTTCAATCAACAGTTTTAAGAAATTTTATGAAATCATACTTATTTTCACAGCGTCCCCACGCTATTATCATCCTGAAAAAAATTCAACCTTTAGATGTTATTTTTTACACTTACATGACTTAATAGATATAAGAAGATGTGGTATGAGTGCCAATGAGCATGATGAGACAACTCTCCATCCAAGTCAAAATTTATAAAAGTAAACCATTATAGGTCAAAGTACAGTCTTCAACACGGAGCCTTGGCTCACACCGAACAGCAAGCCATAAAGGGCCCCAAAAATTACCAGTGTAAAATCATTCAAATGGGAAAACTAACGGTCTAATCTATATAAAAAACGAGAAAGCCAAAAACAATTAATAACAAAAAATCATGCATCAGAGACTAAAATCAACTAAAACACATCCCAGGGATTTAGTATTTTAACGTCATGGACAGTCAAAGAAGACATGACTTGTGCAATGCCAAAAATAAATGTATCGACAGGCAGTAGGATAGTTAGGCATGTTAGGACTTAGGAGTTAACCTCTTTATAGATCAAAATGAACGTAGGTGTGTCTTTATACATCCCGTTTGAAAAGAATACAAATTTAGTTATGTATTAATTTGCTGATGACAAAATCGATATTAGTGCCAATGTAAACTATATTCAAAAATCTAATTACAACATTGGCATGATTGGTAAGATATTAACCTTTACTAATAAGTTTGTTTAAAGGTTCGATGAGTTTACACGGATCACATAAGCCGTGATTTGGTGATTAATTACAACTGTCAAAGATGAGATATCTTTTATCATTATAGTAATCGTGTTTAGGATTATCATTTCGAATATCTATAAAAAATAAAAACAAATTACAAAGATTATACCAACCAGGCAAGCTGTCACTGTCAAAACAATATGGTGTATCAATAAATCTCGCGCAGGTTAAGTCTTGTTCTAAAGACAGTGATGTTGAGTATTAATACACTGATTGGTGTAACGGTTTCCAGTCCTGTTAGTATAATAGTCCCAGATTATTGCAATTATGTTGATGACCAATCACGATTTTATTAGATGGATATGCATAATCATGATTATTATAATAAAATCATTTATTACAGAAGTTAGTGTAATCATTAGTCCACATTAATCATCAACTTTGATCTTAATAATCTTTTCAACTGGTTACACACAAGCTGATCCTAAAGCTATTACAGCTGTATACACACATTTTTTTCTTTAAAAGTTGTTAAACTACTCAAATTGAAAAAAAATTGTTTGATTTGCCAAATCCCGTCCAGGTTAAAAGGAAGTAAATAAAGATGACTGGCGCCACCTAGATTTTACATCCAAGATAATAGGTAGAAGTAAATTTATTTTCTGCTGCCCTTGTAATTAGAAATCAAAATTGAAATAGTGAGAAATGAGTGTTGGCCATTGGTGTAGAAATAGCGAGAAATTTAAAGAAAACTCTCTGTGACGAGCAACATTTTCTGTGCCAAATTTAGCAAGGGGTGTTCTTCGTTTATACTATTTCGAAAATTCCGGAACCGTTGAGTACCCTTAAAAAATGCAATTTTTCTATCAAAAAAGCTGCGGCACCATATGTGTTTTGTAGTTTCAATTACACCCAAAGGTGTTGATAATTCAGAATTCGACATTTTTTTCTATGGATCTTTGATAGTGAAAACGCAGGACCAAAAAAGGCTACCATTGTCGCCTATGTAAATAATTACTTCCTTGTAACCTCCATAAACATGATAAAAAGTTATTAACCTGTTGTCATTGATCATTAATGCTGTTTTCAAATAGTCATTCCTCTGATCAGCGAATAGTGCAAACTGTCACCTACCCTGAATAAAATACTTCACGACACTGTCAAGACTTTTATAGTAATTATTGATCGACTTGGGGCCAGGTTGGTTTGAGGCCGGAACGACCTGATGACGAAATATTCACCACCAATTTCTGGACATAAATGCACAAGGTGCATGCTGATGAGCTTATTGTTAATGTTATAAAAAGAGAAAAAAACAAATTATTTACCGACGTAAGATATGTCCACAATCCTTGTATTTCGTCAACTCTTATTGGTCTTTCCATTTCCTTAAAACAGTGGTATTATCAGGACTATTGAATAATATTAAAAATACAATTACTCAATGGTAGAACTAAAATAGTATATTGTAAATATTCCCAGTTCAATATGGTTTGCCCTGCACTGCATTTGTTTTCCACAGATGTTACCGGAAGCAGTGAAATTTAAACTAGTTTCGGTGATGTTCCGGATTATCATTTTTACATCGGATGACCGTGAGGGCATTCAGGTGTATTGCTGTCGCCTAGATTTCCATTACGTAACTTTCGTGTTGGGATTGTAACCGATCTATATACACGATAAATACGCGGACATTATCGAGTGCAAAATAACATTCCTTATCGCTTGTCAGTTATAAATTCATTTTTTCAATGGATACTCCTAAAAATATCTTTTTAGAACATAAATTAATAATATGAAAATGTTTTGTCGTTAGAAATATATATATAAGTAAAAAATCTTTAATATCTATGCACACGCACAGAAATTGTGTGTTAACGCATGCGGATGAATATCTCAGAACGTTTGCAATCTCCCGTGCAGAGTTATCGGTCCTCACTCTCTCTTAAGGACCGATAACTCTGCATGGGAGATTGAAAGTTTGGCGGGAAAATATGAATGCCTACTCAAATCCAATCTATTAGAAAAATCGAATTATTACAGAAGAGTGTCCACCATGCACTTGCACTGCACTATTATTAATATAGTAGAATCGAATGATATACAAATGGATGAAAATTATATATACATATAACTGTAATATACATATATTAATATAATATATAACAACAAACCACGGAGTATACTGATTTGTATCACTTCAATATATTATTTATTACGGTGGGGTTGAATTCCCTGTCATTTATTTATCATCCACGCACGAACTTGTCTAAGAAAAAAAATTATATCTGTACATTAAATAGATATAGGAAGATGTGGTATGAGTGCCAATGAGACAACTCTCCATAAACATGTGAAAGCTCTCTCACAGGCAAAAAACCCATAATTGAAAAATATAAGGGCATACACCACAAGCACGGGGACACATTCTACTGCATCCACACAGCACGAGCAACAAACCCTGCAGTAAATATATATAGGAAGATGTGGTATGAGTGCCAATGAGACAACTCTCCATAAACATGTGAAAGCTCTCTCACAGGCAAACAACCCATAATTGAAAAATAAAAGAGCATACACCACAAGCACGGGGACACATTCTACTGTATCCACACAGCACGAGCAACAAACCCTGCAGTAAATAGATATAGGAAGATGTGGTATGAGTGCCAATGAGACAACTCTCCATAAACATTAACCTCACTTTCAGGTATATAGAGATGTGATTTTTTTTCTGAGACAAGTGCTTGTGACAATCCACAAGCTTGAACTTGCAGTCATCCGATGTTCAGTACTTCAGTACTTTGATTAAGAGTTGGCCAGTTCATAACTCGGCCTAAACAAACTCAGCCTATCTGAAATTTGGATTATAATCACTGTTGTGGGCTGAGTTATCAGGGAGTCGTTCATCAGTACAATATATGTCCTACTGTATACCCAGGGGCTGGATAAATTCTAGGGGGGGGGGGGGGGTTCATAATTTATATACTTAGTATATATTTTTTTTTAATTTTTAGGACATATTTCACTAATTCTTACTTTATGTTACTAAACACACACACTTACATCCACTCAGTCACCAATCAAAACACACCAAAACCCTCATCCAGACACCCACACACACTCACTCAGTAACCAATTCACACATACCAATACCCACATACATAGCCAATTAGTCACCAACCCATACAACAACACCCACATCCATAACCACTTAGTCACCAACCCACACACCAATACCCACATCCATAACCACTTAGTCACCAACCCACACACCAATACCCACATCCATAACCACTTAGTCACCAACCCAAAAACCAATACCCACATTTATAACCACGTAGTCACCATCCAACACACTACAATACCCACATCTAAATCCACACTCAACCAACATGCATTCACAATGTATAAAATTTCTGCAAATAGCATATTTCTATCCTGGTTTTTTTTGTTGTTGAAAAGGAGTAAGTCTAAAATGAAAGACGAGGTATAAATATAAGAACACATATGTATCTCCTTTTTTTCTGCAAAATGTTATATGTGACAACAATTTTAACTCTTTTCAAATTGATTTTGTGGCTCTAAAAAGAGCTATTTTTGCATACTGAACTGCCCGTGCTCTCTGTGCTTCTGTCTGGATACTGTCGCTATTTCTTCTTGTTCAGCTTTACAAACATCTGATTTTTCGCCTCCTATTGTAAGGAGTGATGATTGAATTCTGTTTCATCAAAGGTTTATAAAATCATCTTCATCTGTGATCGACCCAGTGTGTTGTTCTGTTTATATCTCGTTTGAATCCTTTAACTTTAACTTCGAAGGGTTTCCGCCTTTTTTGTCAATGTATGATTATGTTATTGTGAATTTTGACTTCGACTGAAAATCGACTTTAGTAGCTTTTTTTCGATGTGCCATACAACCATGCTCTTATACTGTGGTACAAATTGTGCATCTATTAAGACTACCGATATTAGAGATAACTGTAACTGGCCTATTTACGTAGTTCTGTTCCGAGGACATTACCTTGCTGAAACGATTTATCTTATTCTAGCTTTTTGCTTATATCAAGCATTACTGTGTCGTCATAGCCCCAACTCCCACCATGCACGTGAAAAGTGGTGTATATTTGAAGTGTGAATTTAAAATAAAAATGAATAAAAAATACCTCATATCATAAATGTAAGTGTTGTTGGGTTGTTGTCTCGTTGACGTACATGTAAACCGTACATAGTTCTTTATCCACAATTAATTTTAATTTGTCAATAAGTAAGTTATAAAGTGCATTTCATACTTTACAAATATTTACTGTTAAAATGACATATTTTTCAAAAATATCATTTTCCGGCTTTCTTGACGCAAAATGATTTACATCTCTGTTGTAATAGCATACACTGTATTAGTTTCAAAACCTTATATAGTAGACAATTTGTATTATTTCCTCGGATAAGGTATTGGACTAATTATTTTTCGTTAAAATACGTTCCTTATACGTAGACAGTGTTTTCACATTTACATCTTTTTCGCTGATGCTGTGGATTGCAGATTAAAAACAAATTATTCAAAAAATCAAAGGCAATGAATCAGCAATAAAATGACACTTTATCGTATTTTCTGTAGGCAAACAAACAATATTTTTGCAAAATGTTTGACAGTTTATCTCCGTTTTCACACCTTTTCTACGAAATAATTTCCAGTTATAAGTGTTCAATGGTACACAGTTTTAGAAAACCAAAAGCCACTTATACTGGCCTCTATCACCCCTTCTTGGGAGTGAGTCTAGCCCGTTCGTAGATGAAACGGGATTAAATGGCTTTAGTTGATGTCCTTATTTTCTTTTCTAGAAAGAAAACTGTACGATTTCTTTCATTATTCTGTCTGCAAAGATGGTTGACAAATTGTTTTATTATGAAATCAAATAAGAGCGTTGTATGTTAGCTTTTATGTTATAAAATATCAATTCAAAAAGTGTTATTAATAAATTTTTGAATGGGAAAGAAAGGATATGGTGTATAAAAGTCACGTGATAAAAAGTCTTTTATATAATTTGTATTTTTTTCTGAGTGAAATAAGAAAGAACGATATAACCTTCCCAAAACACACACACTTACATCCACTCAAACATACATTCAAAACTCAACAAAAACCCTAAACCAGACACACACACACTAACTCAGTAACCAACTCACACACACCAGTACCCACATCCATAGCCAATTAGTCACCAACCCACACAACATTACCCACATCCATAATCATTTAGTCACCAACCCACACAAATCAATACCCAAATTCATAACCACTTAGTCACCAACCCAAACACATCAATACTTATACTCTTACCAACCCACACACCGATACCCACATCCATAACCACTTAGTCACCAACCCACACACTACAATACCCACAACCCACACAACTTTACCCACATCCATAATCACTTAGTCACCAACCCACACAAATCAATACCCAAATTCATAACCACTTAGTGACCAACCCAAACACATCAATACTTATATTCTTACCAACCCACACACCGATACCCACATCCATAACCACTTAGTCACCAACCCACACACTACAATACCCACATCTAAATCCACACCCAACCAACATGCATTCTCAATGTCAAAATATTCTGCAAATAGCACATTTCTATCCTAGTTTTTTGTTGTTGAAAAAAAGTAATTCTTAGATGAAAGACGAAGAATATATAAGAACACATATATATATTATCGTTTTTTTTCTTCTGCAAAATGTTATATGCGACAACAATTTGAACTCTTTTCGAATTGATTTAGTGGCTCAAAAAAAAGCTATTTTGCATACTGAATTGTCCGTGCTCTCTGTGCTTCTGTCTGGATACTGTCGCTTTAGCTTCTTATTCAGCTTTACAAACATCTGATCCTTTCGCCTCCTATTGTAAGAAGTGATGATTGATTTCTAAGATTCACACTCTGTTTCATCAAAGGTTCATTAAATCATCTTCATCTGTGATCGACTGAGTGTGTTGTTCTGTTTCGATCTCGTTTGAATCCTTTAACTTTAATTTTGAACGGTTTCCGCCCTTTTTGTCAATGAATGATTATGTTATTGTGAATTTTGACTTCTACTGAAAATCGACTTTAATTTAGTAGCTTTATTCGATGTGTCATACAACCATGCTCTTATACTGTGGCACAAATTGTACATCTATTCTGACTACCGATATTAGAGATAACTGTAACTGGCCTATTTACGTAGTTCTGTTCCGAGGACATTACCTTACTAAAACGATTTATCTTATTCTAGCTTTTTGCTTATATCAAGTGTTACGGCCAGAAATCACCTTTAAATTGTAGCCAACAAAAGACAAAAATCAAGGATAGATTTAACAAGATTTATTATACACAAGTCTACAAGTAATATTATACAAATTGAAATGTCAACTTAACTATTAATATATTTGTCCAGTCCTTCGTCTTTTCCTTATCCGGAATTCTTCTTTTAACTGTACGGAATCCAATGTTAAATAAGTTCACAATCTAGTATGATGTTGTTCGTAAGTAAAAGTGTCAATCCAACAACTACAGAGATCTTCTGAGAATACAAGTATATTAATGTCTGTCTGTCTAATTTCGGTGTCTGTATATATAGTTGTCACGG